TGCGCGCTGCAGCCCTTAGGGAGCTCGGCGCACTCTCCCGGGGCGCAGGTGTCTGTTAGTGTCCCCGGGAGCCCGAGGGCATCCCCGCCCTCCTGGGTCCTGCTCCAACTCCCTGCGAGCCCCTTTCCGCCCGCCCGGGAAGGTTGGTGCAGCTCCTGCTCCTCCGGGACGGGGCTCTCCCGTCCTGGGGACACTCGCCCCGGCCTCAGCCCGGCTCCTCGCGGGGCCCCTCCCCCTCGGAGGCCTTTTGTTCCTTTATTTCTTTTCCCCCGTCTTCCTACCTTGATAGAAGCGCGGACTCTTCTCACTGTAGCATTCCAGCTGGTCTCTCTTTACATCTCAGGCCGAATTCGTAAATTTTCAGGATGGTTTGAAGGTTATCTAGGTAATTTGGTGGGGACAGGTGATTTGGGGACCCTGCTCTTCCGCCATCTTGCCCCTCCCCTCCATTCTCTTTTTTTATGTAGATGTTTAAAGCTGCAGATTTCTCTCTTAACATTTTTTTTTTTAATTTATGATAGTCACAGAGAGAGAGAGAGAGAGAGGCAGAGACATAGGCAGAGGGAGAAGCAGGCTCCATGCACTGGGAGCCCGACGTGGGATTCAATCCCGGGTCTCCAAGATCGCGCCCTGGGCCAAAGGCAGGCACCAAACCGCTGCGCCACCCAGGGATCCCTCTTAACATTGTTTTAGTTGCATCTATAAATTTAGATATGTTGTGTTTTCCCTTTAATTTAGTTGAAAATATTTTTTAAATTTCATTTTTGAGTTCTTTGACTTAGGAGTTATTTAGAAGTATATCGTTTAATTTCTGAATATTTGTGTTTTCTAAGATTTCTTCTAGCAATGGATCTCTTTTTTTTAAAGATTTATTTATTTATTATTCATAGAGACAGAGGGAGAGAGAGAGAGAGGCAGAGAGGCAGAGACACAGGCAAAGGGAGAAGCAGGCTCCATGCAGGGAGCCCAATGTGGGACTTGACCCCGGGTCTCCAGGATAACACCCTGGGCCGAAGGCTCTTGCCAAACCACTGAGCCACCCAGGGATCCCTAGCAATGGATCTCTAATGTGATTCCATTGTGATCAGATATGTGTATGATTTCAGACTTTTTAAATTTTTTGAGACATATTCCCCACTTTGGAGCCCTCGCTCTACCATCAGCATGATAGATTCCCTCACTTTCTTTAAGTCATATCTCTCAAATATCACTTTCTCAATGAGACTTACCAAGACCAACATTAAAATTGCAACTACCACTACTATAACCCCCTAGCACTTCCAATCACCCATTACATTGCTGTATTTTTTTATAGCAGTCATAACCTTCTGATATACTATATAATTCACTGAGCTCTATGAAGATAGGGACTTTGTTTTATTTATTGATATATCCCAAAAAAGAATAGTACCTGAATCATAATAGTCACTGAATATTTATTTTTGAAGGTATACATTAGAATATTTATCCACTTGGTCATATGTAGCTGAAATTTGTTCATTTTCATTAGAATATAGTATTTCATTATATAAACTGACTACAGTTTTGCAATTGATTCTTAGATGGACATTTATATTTTTGCTAGTTTCATGCTATTATAAATAGCACTGATCTAAACATTATTATTGTATCCTGGTACACATATGCCTAAATTTCTCTAGGGTATATATGTAGGAGTGGAACTGATTAGTCATATTATGAGCAAATCTTCAACATCAGTAGATAACATTATAGTGATTTTCACTATGGGTGCACATTACTACCAGCAATGTATGAGGCTCTACAATTTCTACAATTTTGGTGTTCTTTTTAATTTTTGCCAGTATGGCAGTTTTCTATTAATATCCCAACCCTTCTTAATTAGCATTTCCCTGAATTCTAATATGGTTGAGCACTTTTGCATATATTTATTAGCCCTGTATATTTCCTCTTTTGTGAGGCCTCTTTTCAGTTGTCTACCGCTTTTCTTAATGGTTCTTTACGAGTTATTTGTGCAGCAAACATCTTTTTCCATTCTATGACTTTTCCCTTTATATTTTCAATGAACAGAAGTTTTAAATTTAGTTGAATCTGTCAATATTTTCCTTAATGATTAGTGTTTTTTGGGTCTTAAGAAATCCTTCTATAAATATTCTTATACCTTGCTGGTGGAAATGCAGAATAATACAACTCCTACAGAGTAGAATTTAGCAATATGTGGAAAAATTGCATACACATTCACCCTTTGTCTCAGCAATGCCACCTCTTGCAGTCTGCTTCAAAGATATACTGGAAGAATACAAAATGCTGTGTGCACAAGGCTATTTGTCAGACTATTATTCATAAAAGCAAAAAATACTGGATACAGCACTAATGTGCATCAGTAGGAGAGTAGTTAAACTAGTACATTCACACAATAGAGTACTGTGCAGATATCAAGAGGAAGGGGAAGAACTCTACACATTAATAAGTTATTTCTGATATATTGTTAAGTACAAAAAAGTAAATTGTAGAACAGTATTTATAGTAAGTTACCTTTTATATAGGAAAGGGGTGTAACTGATGAATTATGTAGATACACACATATATGTGTTGTGTGAGCCTGCCTATTTGCTTATATTTTCAAAAAAGAAACAATGGAACCATAATGTCAAAACCTAAGTAAAATTATTATTTATGGAGAAGGAAAGGAATGGGATGAAGGGGACAGAGATGGGGGTGAGACTTTTGTGAAGGTACTGTATAACAGTTTTCATTTTAGATTCATGTAAATGTTCTGCATAATTTAAAAAATAATCAAAAAGGAAAAATCAATTCTTAAAATTCTTGAAGTAAATCAATTCCTTAAATAACCTGAGGTAAATGAATATAACTATGAATAAAGTTGGTAACATAACCATACAGAAAAAGTAATTATGTAAAGTAACTTTAAAACAACATTTGTATATAACTGCAAAGACATATAAAACTGTATTCAGTAGTTTTGTCATTAATAGTTATATTAGTATTGTTACTAACATTTTAAAATTCTTTTTTTTTTAAATATATTTTTTAAATTTTTATTTATTTATGATAGTCACAGAGAGAGAGAGAGAGAGAGAGGCAGAGACACAGGCAGAGGGAGAAGCAGGCTCCGGGAGCCCGACGTGGGATTCGATCCCGGGTCTCCAGGATCGTGCCCTGGGCCAAAGGCAGGCGCTAAACCGCTGCGCCACCCAAGGATCCCATTTTAAAATTCTATAAACATATTATTGGAAAAGGCTAATATCATTGAGCCAATATTTTAACCATATGTGAAAAGAGATACAAGTCTAAGATCAAAGAATTTGAGTAAAAACCTTGTAATCTTAAATTTAAAGTGGAAATACCAATAGGAACTCATGATTTATTTTTCTTTTGAAAGAATTTCCTAGCTTTGTCCACTGAAAAGCCTCAGAAGCAAAAACAACAACTATCAACACACCTAACAACAAACACATTGTGGTTTCTAAACACTATTTACCATTAAAAGGAGCTAGGGTTCCTTGGAGAGATAATCTAGGTTTGAGTCAGGAAATATTCAAAATGAGCTTGTGACATCTTGCTGTGCCAAAAAACTAGAAAGCAACACAAGGAGCCAATCTGAAGGGACTTACTGTCCCAAGTAGGATAATTTGATGACTAAAAAGAATAAAGATTACATTTAAGTGAAACACGTCAAACGTGAAAATGATCTCACGATTATACTAAAAATAATCGTTGGTCACCATTGGACATTTCTAAGGTACTAACTCATTACTTTCATAGTTGGTAAATATGGGGGGGGGGGAAGTCAAGCATTTGTCCGGCCTTTGCTGTATGAACTGTATATGGGGAAACCCAAATAGTTGACGGTAAGTTCATTTTAGAATTTCAGATAATAAATGCAGAAGAAATAATAGAATTAATAAGTACAGAAGAACTAATATCATTAGGGGAGCTCCATTTTGCAACTTCTTAATTAACAGATCGAGGTAATGGTCATCAATGGGTGCAAAACCCATTAGGTGAATGGGGAAACTTCGTAATGGAGCAATCAGACTAATATCTTCTAAATCTGCTGATCAACTTTAGCATCAGTAAAGTGGGACCACCAAACATTATATGCCCTATGATGTGATGTCATAGGAAGTACACATCTATCTATGGATGATTGTTACCTTAAATATTGAACCTGAATCTAGTCAAGCCTCTAGATCAGCACTATCTTAATGCAACTTTCCACAATGATGCAAATGGTTTCTATCTCTTCTGCCCATTATGGTATCCATTAGCCACATATGGCTGTTGATCATTTGAAATGTGACTCGGTTAACTGGGGAACCAATATCTAAAACATTACTTTAAATAAATTTGTATGGCCAGTGACTATTGTATTAGATAGCACAGATCTAGATTTAACTGCCAGTTTGTAAGAGATAGAGGGGTTTGAGGAAAAAGTTAAACAATAACATGAGGAATAATCAGCCAAATTTCATTTGTTCTCTGAACAAATGATGTGGTTCCTCTAATCATTCAATAGGATGGAGAAAAAAACGAGTTGGAGAGATGGAAAAGAGGGGCACTGTTTTAAGACAGAAGAGAGAGAACAGCCATAGCCTGGTTTAGATTCTGCATTGAACAGCCAGGTGTCAGAAGTGACCTTTGAGATAATCAGAGCCATTTGAATCTGAACTCAGGAATTATTATTAATTTTGTGAAGTGGGATAATGCTGTACTGGTTACATTTTTTTAATGTCCTTATCACTTAGGTGCATGTACTTGCATGACTCTGAGAGTGAGTACCTCCTTAAATTTTGTGCCTGAGGTGCCTTGCTTGCCTCACCATAGTTCCAGCATTGCTTGAGATGCACTGCATTAAAACAGGTGTATACTATTGTCATTTGTCAAGCTTATCCCCACAGAGTTTCTATATCTGAGAGCCAAGATTTAATTTTTATTATTTGTGAAAGGTTGTATTGGTAGGCTTTGTAGAACTTCCCTATCTCTTTGTCTTGATCTAGATGAACCCCAAAAGAAGAACAAAGGTGATCCCATGAACAACCTGGAAAGTTTTTACCAAGAGATGATAATGAAAAAACGTCTTGAAGAGTTCCAACTTATGAGAGGTGAACCCTTTGCTTCCCACTCACTGGTCTCAGCTACATCAGTGGGAGATAGTGACACAGCTGAGAACCCGTCATTACTCCAGGACAAGGGAAAACAGGCAGCACAGGGTAAAGGTCCCAGTCTCCATGTGGCAAAAGTTATTGATAATTCACCTGAGCAGTGTTGGACTGGGCCTAAGAAGCTGACGCAGCCAATAGAATTTGTCCCAGAAGATGAGATCCAGAGAAATCGTTTGTCAGAGGAAGAGATCCGAAAAATTCCTATGTTTTCTTCATATAATCCAGGGGAGCCAAACAAGGTATAGGCCAAACCAAGAAAAAAAAACATGGGTTGTTTTCATTTTTCTTTACCTCTACCTAAACTAATACTTTGAAATTAGCTTTGATTATACCAAGGAATCATGACATAGGTACTGTGATTGTGTTTTTCCTTGACTTGGACTATTAATCTCTCCATACTATATAAGTAGTGTATTTCCTATGATGTTCTTTGTGGTTTCCTAAGGTCTGAAGCTACCCTAGAGTTTTAAAGAAATCATGATGAAACTAGTTCATATCCATTAGAGGCCCTGAATTGAAGGAAAAGCAACCTCCAGTTTCCTAGGCTAGTAATAAATCAAGTAATACTCATAGGACCACCATATCAGGTAGCCGAAGTTCCTCTGCAAGTAGTCCATAAATAATTGGCCACCTGGTTTTGAGTAGAGTTATTACGTGAGTTTTTTTTTTTTAGAATACTCCACCTGACTCTCATGTGACATATGACTTTAAATTGCTGATACTAAGTAGCAAAGTGAAAGTGTAGGGCCTCTAAATCTTGAGAAATTGACAAATAGATAAGTAGAGTTCTAAACAATCCTTGTTTTATTGATCACATCATTATTTCACATTATTGGTATATGTTACATCCAGAATGGCAAATTTTATTGTAATGTCACTCAAAGAGGCAACACAAGCCCCTGGAACATATGCTTGGTTGTGTTTAATTTAAAAAACAAAACCAAAAAAATAATATTAGGTTCTGGCTGTCCCTGAATTTTAAAAAAAGGCAGTGTGGATGAGGGATATTAAAGCAATTTCCTTTGAGTGATTGCATTTCTAATATATTTTTACTGTTAGTTCAAGGGCAGCTTGATTTGTGTTTTTTATTATAAAATAATACTAATATACAAAAAGTTATAGAGAATAATATAGCAAATACCACTATACCTAGCCAGCCATCTTTATCAATACATAATAATTTCCATATTTGCTTAGTTAGAAAAATAATAGAGCCTTATGGATATACCCGAAGACTTCCAAGTATCCCTCACCAATCCCATTTCCCTATCTCCCCTCCAGAGGTAACTATTATCCTGAATTTGTTATTTATCATTCTGATGCATGTTTTTATATTTTTACTACATATTTATATATTCATAATATATTTTTACATATTTAAAACTACAGATATTATACTCTACATATCCTTCTACAACTTGCTTTTTTTACTCAATATACATGTTTTTGAAACTTATTTTAATACTATAAGGAACTATGTAGTATTCCATTGTAGAAATATATTATAATTTATCCATTTTCCTGAAGATATTTTCTTTTTATTTTTGCTATTACGGGCAATTCTGCAACGAACATTGTACTTATCTCCTGTTGCATATGTACAAGAGTTTCTCTAGGACACTTTTTCAAACTTCAGGTTACAATTAGGTCACAACAAGCAATTTTTTTAATGAAACAAAATGGAATAGAATAGAAAATATCAAAGTATATTCTGTAGAGTAAGGGTGATTACTGTTTCTGGAAGCTTTTGGTTTGCGTGTGTGTGTGTGTGTGTGTGTGTGTGTGTGTGTGTACGTGATATGTGATATGTATGTGGGCCAGAATGTAAAATGCATTTGTTCCTATAGATCTCAGTCAAAAAAGTTGGAAAAATATTGCTCTATTGCAGTGATTCTCAAATGTTAGTATTCACCAGCATCATCTGGAAGGCTTGTTAAAAGACAGATTTCTGGGCTCCACCCTCAGAATCTCTTACTCAGCAGACCTGGAGTAGGGCCTGAGAATTTGCATTTCCAACAAGTTCCTATGAGGTGGTGATGCTGCTGGTCTAAGAGTGACATTTTAAGAATTATTGTTCTAGATTACATTCCTAGGAGTGGAATTACTATGATATAGGATATGTATATATTCAACTCCATGAGCAGGTTTTCAGAAATCTCTTTCATATCCTTGCCAAGATTCTTTAGTATTGGACTTTTTATTTGCCAGTCTAAAATGTTTGAAGGTATATCATTGATTTAATTTGCATGTTTTTGATTTGCAATCAAGTTAAGCTTGTAATTATGCATTTGTTAGCTTTTCAGTAACCTTGTGTGCTTTGCCTGTTGCATTTCTTTGCCCATTATTTGATTGTTTAGTTTTTCATATTATTTATAGAAAAAAAATTTTAAGTAGGCTCCATGGTCCAGCATGAAACCCCCAACACAGGGCTTGAACTCATGAGCCTGAGAGCAAGACTTGAGCTGAGATCACGAATCAGACACTTAACCAACTGAGCCATCCAGCTGCCTAGAAATTATTTTTAAATTTCGGATACAAACATGTGTTGCTTATCTAGTAAATATATTCGTCTAGTAGGTGGCTTTTAAACATTTCTGATGTCTTTTGTTAAGCAGAAGTCTTTCATCTTAATGTTATCAAACCATCAGTATTTTATTTGATGGTTTGTGCTTTTTGAGTCATTTTAAGGAAATCTTTCTCTACAAACCAATAATAAATAAATAAATAGCCAGATGATGTGAACAGGCAATTCACAGGGGCGAAAACTTGAATAGCCAATTAATTATAACATCTTAATAGTAATCAAAGAAATGCAAAATATAACTACAGTGAAAAGCTATTTAACACCCAGGAAGTTGGCATTCCTTTAAAGGCCTGTCAATGCCAAGTATTGGTGAACATATGAGACAGTAAGAACTCTAATATACTGCTGGGTGAATATAAGTGAGGACAATAACTTTTATGAATATTGTGGCAATATCTAGTAAAATATAAGATGCTCATACACCATAAGTCAGCAGTCCCACTCCTAGGTATCTATCCTAGAGGAACTCCTACACATGCACATTAGGAAATGTTATAAAGATACTCACTGTAGCATTATTTATAAACAACACACTTGTTCATCAGCAGGAGAATGGATAAAGCATGGTATATTCATAGAATACTATACGGTATAGAAAATGAATAAAATAGAACTACAGGTATCAACATGCATGAATCTCACAATATTGAATGAAAAAAGCTCCTTGGTTTCAGCTCCAACATGTAAAGTGCTTGGAAGGTGTCACTCATGACTTATAACAAGAAAAACAGCTGAAAAAAGGAAACAGCAATGACTTTTCTTTGACCCATCAGAGAACTGAAGTCACAGAGTAAACTGTGACCCCAAAATCTAGAGAGAAAGGCAATTACAGAGAATCACAGCCCAGACCTGCTTATCAGTAGCAAAAAGCATTGGAGCCATAAACTGGTAGGGACCTTTACGTGGTAACCTTGACAAATTTCTGGAAGTAGAATGTAGATTGTTTGAGTGACAAATTCTAGGTCTATGATGACCCTCACATTTTCATGACTTTTAACTCTAGGAACCCCACTAGGTTCTCAAGGGGAAAGGCCAAGAAACAATCTCCTGTTCCTGGCATGCAGAAGGAAAGAGTAATCATTTTGAAATACATCCAGAGCTTCTGTCTAACAAAGGGATACCCAGCAAGTGAAACAACTTTATGAAAGCCTTTGCCAGCTAGCAAGAAGGGAAATTCTCCAACTCCAGATGCCTCTAACTTTCCTGTCTCATCTAAGAGAGAAAGAAAAAAAAGCTATGAAACACTTACGAAGGTTACAAGCTAGGGACACGGGCACACTAAAAGAGTTGAGACTTAATTATGAGATTATAGAATGTTTCCCTTGCCACACACTTTACTGCCCCATCAATAGGGCCTCAGTACAGTAACTATGGATGATAGCTGAAAGACTTACAAGGCTGACTCCATTTAAGGAGTTTTTAAGGAACCCCCCCAAAAAAAAAACAGAGAAAAAACAAGGACATTAGAGGAAATTGAAACCTCTAACATCTACAACTAGAATAAACACCAAACACAGCCAACTCCTGGCCACATTAACATAAAACCTCATACTAATGCCCTATTTACCTTAGTTCCTCTTAATTTATACATCATGTCCAGCTTTCAACAACAACAAAAAATCACAGGGTGTGCTGAAAGGAAAAACAGTTTGAAGAGACAAAGCCAGCATCAGAACCAAACTTAGATATACAAGTTTTGGAATTACCAGATATATGGAATTTAAAGTAACTATGATCAATATACTACAGAATCTATTAGAGAAAATATACAATATGCAAGCACAGATGAGTAATGTAAGCAGATAGATAGAAACTCAGAATCAGAAGAAGATGCAAGAAATCAAAAACACTAAAAAGAAATGAAATGATTTGGGTACACTCATCATTAGATGGGAAGTGACCGAGGAAAGAATCAGTATGCTTGAAGACATGCCAGTAGAAACTTCCCAAACTGAAATGCAAAGAGTAAGAGGACTGTAAAAAAAAAATGGAAAATAATATCCAAGAACTATGGGATAATTTCAAATGGTATAACATACATGCTATTGGAATGCCAGAAGGAGAATAAATAGTTGAAGTAGGAATAACTGAGAATTTTCCAAGATTAATGACAGACACTAGATCACAGATCCAGGATCTGGGAAAACAATACTAACCAGGATAAATACTCCCAAAATACACCTAAGCATATCATATTCAAACACAGAAAACTGAGACAAAGAGAAAATCTTGAAAACACCCAGGGAAAACACATTATCTATAGAGGAACAATAAGAATTACATTGGATTTCTTGTCAGAAATTCAAGAAAGCAAGAAGAGAAAAGTGAAATATTGTAAGTATTGAAAGAAAAAAACACTCGCCTAGGAGTCTGTATCCAGCAAAACAATCCTTCAAAAATGAAACAAAAAATAAAAAAGACTTTCTCAGACAAACAAATACTGAGGGAATTTGTCAGTAGTAAATCTGCTTTGTGAGAAATATTTCTTTTTCAAAAAAGATTTTCCAGAGTGAAGGAAAATGATAGAGTTCAGAAAATTAGGTCTCTATAAAGAAAAGAAGAGCATAGGAGACAGAATACATAAAGGTAAAATAAAATCTTATTTTTAAGTTATTTAAAAGATAACTGTTCAAAGTAATAACAACAATGTGTTAG